CGGAGCCGATCTTAACTTTACGGAGCCGAGAGTGCAGTATCAGCTGAAGTGCTTTCAAAGACAATTGCAGCAATGGGAGAAGACGGTCGATGTCTCTGTGGATCAACGTAGGCTTCGTCGGGTTTCGGTTTAATCAAAGAACATGACTGATCTTGTGTAAAGGACTTGTGCGGCACCAATCAGCATGCCTCAACCTGTATATTCACGAGATCGCGATCCACTACGACCACAACGTAGACGATTTCCGACCACTGCCTCAGCTAGAGCAACGCAAAGCGCCCGACTTCATAACCTCTGGTCACGTCGAAGCTTTATCCACTCTCCTAGAGAGTAGTCATCAAGTACTGGACACCTACCTCTCACTCGAGGTCGAGTGTGCTCGAAATCTGAGTAATCTCTACATCGTCTGGAATGCATACGCCGTTGTAGTATTGATCAAACTACACTGGATATTCAACTCACCAGACTCCAGGTTCGGCTCGGTCTTTGTACCTGATCTGAAGACCGGACACTACTTGGACGCTATTCTCAACAGACTGGGCGAAGTGTCAGCCGGCGGCACGAATCCCTGTGCAGAGGCCTTCGGATTCGTATTCATGAAGCTCAAAATCTGGCATATGCATAGAACAGGGCAACTCTCGGATGATGAACAAGGCCAAGACGACCAGTCGCGACGTCAACGGGCGTCCAGCATCCTGCGGCAAGATACCGCTTCCATCCTCGCATCCGCAAAGCAGATGGAATACCCTGGGAACGCTGTGAATTTGCCCCCGACACGGCCGTTTACACCGGCTCTGCTTCCGGGAGGGGCTTGGTCGAATGTCGACAAATTTGGCTCAAACTTGAACGCGGCGTATGACGCTGCAAGTTACGGCAACACCAACTGGGATCAGTTCAACTTCAGCACAGAAGAATTGGACATGTTTGATATATACATGAACAACAGCGGGTGGATGGGGTATCTACTTTAGAGCTGGAAACCCAGCGGCTCACGCACAATGCCAAGAACTAATGTCCACATTAACCGTATAGCCGATGTCCTCTTGAGGTAGGCGGCGCAAAAGCAGCAACTTCACGACAAGTTTTTTTCCTCTAGAACTCAGCTCCATCCAATAACTCCCTCTCCGAGAACCTTCTTTCTCCGACCATCAAAAATCGATACTGTTCGTCCAACGACGCCGTCCCCGCCAACACCAAGATTGAGCCTCAAATCACTGGTTCTTAAGTCGCCGTCTGTGTCAACAAAGAAAGAATACAGTACGGGATTTGACGGGTCACATTCATCTTCATCTAAACCGGCACCGGAATATGAAGGTCTTGAAAGTGGTTGCCCATATTTGCTATGGAACGTCGTCAGGAACCTGAATGGGGCCGTAACAAAGGTGAGCGACGGCGTTATACGTACTGGATTCTCACATTTAGGACCGAATTCGGTCCACACTCATTTGGCTCGTTGCTCGCACATTGGAGGGTGGTCGAGGTTGCTCCTGGCTCGCGATTCGACAATTTCAGTCTCCCTCGAAACGATGATTGTGGATTCGGGTGGATGATGGCGATCAGGTCGCCGGACTCTGGAGCTGGGGGGAGATGGGAGTCGCCGCACATGATCTGGCTCTGTCGTGGGTCAAAATTGGTTGGGTGTGATGTGTTATGAGTTATTGTGCAGTATGACAGGCGAAGATGGTGATGAGAATATCCCGACAATGGCTCCCAAAAAAAAGGGAATGGCATATTCATATACCCCCCGGGCGATATGGGCGGAGAAACTGTTACAATTGTTTACGAAGCGAATATCTGCTCAACAATCTCCAATCAATCAAAACATCCAAAAACTCCCGCCCATATCCAACACCAAAAAGCATAGACTGGATAGCGGCAATTCAATTCCAACTTGCGCATCCAGCCTCCTCTAGAACAAAAGTAGCAGCATTGAGCAAGATATCGCACATTCCTAGCTTCGATCTCATCTTATTTGCCCCTCTCGCGATGGTGGACGCGCCGAGGATCTGTCGCATTGTCAAAGGTCAAACGTGCGTCCGGGTTGAGAAGGTTGAGCAGATTTTTTGTTCGTTCTCTTTTACGATGTGGCTCGGCAGGGATGTCGAGGGAGATGAATGAGGCTGAGAGAGCAAGATTCCAAGATTCGTGAGCAAGTTTCTTTTACCTATTTTAGCTGCCGTCCTAAAATTAAAATTGGGAGCTGAAATGGGGCCGAGTCGGCATCATTAATACGAGAATTAGGGTATTTTTCACGAAGAATAGTCACGTGGTCACGCGTGCGGCTCCTGGTTCGCGTGATCACTCTTGACCCAAAGGACCCTTCATTTCCTGAACCTGGAGATGGAAGCGACCGTATGGTCGGCCTGGGTCGTCAAAGCCGCCCTTAGGGTCATCTGGGGTCGAATTAGAACTTTAATGTGGTTGAAGAAAGGGGTAATTACTAGTTCTGGCATATTTTGCACGATCTGATCCTTGATGGCTTTATCAAGTCGATTGGGGCCTTTAAGCACTTTAGAACATACTCGCGCTCCATATAAATACATGGCCTTGAGCAATGATAAGTGGTTTGAAAGGATTCGTGCTTCTCCATAAATCCACTGTGTCGGCGAGTACAACTGCCTGTGCCAGTCCCATCGAAATGCCAATTGATCGTAGTTTTTGCCTCATCGAGGCACGATATATTTCTGGCACAGTAGACAGAACGCTTCCCCCATAGAGTGGCCAAATCAGCAAAATGTCGCCCGAAGCTTTCGGAGACGTAGGGAAGCTCACGGTTGTGATGCGGTTCACCCAGTCTTTGTCGATGTGGTAGGTGACTGACGAGTATATGGCTTCGCCAGTCTTCCTAGCATCGGTTCGCAGCGCCTGATATTCCTCGGTCTCTTGAAATGGCACGGTATCAGTCTCTGGGTATTGGCCCCATTGTGCAACCACGTCGCAGAGCCGCAACAGTGTTGTGCGATATGTGTTACACTGTGTCCCGGCTAGCCCAGTTCTGCGTTGACATATGCGAACTACGGACAGTTTTGATAAACATCAACCCTGCCGGGAAATATGCTCAGCTTAGAAACTTCAGATGCTTCGATCTGATGATGGATGGTTTTGGGTTGCCAGCAATCAGGTATTCTTGATGGCCAATCTCGAAAGCTTGACAGTTGTGAACGCGCTGCGGCAAGGAGAGTTCTTGTATCCTGTGCATTCTCGACCAGCTCTTTCGCAGCGAGAACACTGCTATTGAAATGTGAGTAGCGTCTATGCTTAGGTACCCAATGAAGCTGCTCACCTGACGTTGTTCGTTGCGCTTCCACCAACTGCGCGTCAGCAAGAGCCTAATCTAAAGGTCGGATCGCTACCTTGGTACGCCTCGCCTTACATGGATCGCAGGCTCGACTGGGGCGGCCGGTGTTCACCATCTCGACTTGAAAGAAATATCGTGATGAGATTTTGTTTTCATTAACCGCTATTATTTGGGAATGACTTCGGACAGCGACAGCGCCAGCGATTTCGTACCACAGCGAATTCTCTTAATACTTGGCAGAAACAGACACCACCAAATTTGGTAGGTGTTCGTTCCTCCTAGTCACACTTCGTACAAATCGTGTATATATTGTAATAAGGCAAGGTGGCTGTGCGGTGCTGGGGTGGCGGTGAACTGGCGGGGCAGAGGTCTGTCGGGTCACATGTCAAACCTAATTAGAGAGCTGGGAGCAGGACAGCTTATAGTGCTGGCAGACTGCCATTCTTTACAGTTAGAGAGAGTATCATGAATACCATGGTTTTTTTTGGCGCCGTCTACCTGATTCCTAATTTTTTTTTTTTTTCAGTTCAGTCCTATTCCTCGATGCTGCCGCTGTGCTAGGTGCTCGTAGCCCTAGCCGCTGCCCCTTTGGGTTGTGTTGGTGGTCGTGGTGTTTTGTCAGTATCAACCAGAAACGCGTTCTCGATTCCCGATCTGCTGGACAGGCCTCTGTGCGTTGCTGCAGGTGCACGCCGAACCCTGAAGTGCTCTGTTACACTACAAGGCCACAGTGGATTGATGGCGGGTTGGAACAGGCGCAAAAAGCTCTGGATTTGATGATGGAGGGCAAAGTCAGTGGTAGGAAACTTGCATCTAACGTATCAGACGCGGTGGTGCATGTCCAAGAAAACGCAGGACAGTCCTGAATAAGCGACTTACCGAATATTTCATGCAGCTACAAGAGAGCAGCAGTCCAAGAATATTGAGGAAGAAGCATCTGCGGGTCAGTATTTACAGGCATATACTCGACATGATGCTGTCACCATCGATTTTTGGAACTGAAAATAGAAAACAGCTCAGGCGAGAGGTGATGCACACCTCGTACTTGCTCCGTTGTCGTCCTCTACCATCAGATAAGGGGCAACCACAATGTTGAGACTGCTGGTGGTGGTGGTGGTGGTGGTGATGGTGGTGGTGCTGCTTGTGCTGCTGGTGCTTCTGTAGGATAGGTGTTGTGCCAATGCCCAGCAGGATGCATAGGTGCTGTATTTGAATTTAGAGGGCACCTACCAGCCGAGCTCTAAGGGCCGTCTTGCTGTGGCGTGGTTCTCGTTGCAGCCTGGTGAATGTAGCCAGATAGGAGCTTCAGTCAATCTCTTGTTTTTTTTTTTCGGAGGGAACTACGCAGATAAGGAAGCCTTTCCATTGCACGAGCTGCTCTCAGGTGATGCTGCGGTCTCAGGTGTGGCTGCTCAGATGATTGTCTTCTCATCTCAGAGACGATGCGAACATACCCCTTCAAATCAGTACTATATCTGTAGGTACCGCACAGCCCGCCTTCTCATTATCTTATATGGTTCGGGCAACTGACATGAACTTGCTTGTAGCCTGAACTACCGGAGCAAAATATGTGACTTGTAGATTATCCTAAGGATAGTTATAAGGAGACACTGAATCTCTACTGCATTAGCCACCCAACTTTGCTTTCAGTATGTCTCATGTACGAAATGCCAATCGCAACCGTCGACAAGAGAATTCACGCTCATTTCTTCTCCTTCCAAAACTGCATCCACTTCTCAGTCAGTAACTTCTGCGCGGCTAACAATCCTCCAAGAAATGACTTCGCCTTCTCTCTTGGGTCGAGGTTCGTCGAGAGGCAAATTGACCCCAGCTCTTGACCAGCCTTTACTAATGCGGAAGAGACGAATTGCGTTTCTCGACTCCATTCGTCAAGAGATATTAGGCCCTGCAGAAGCAGCCTCAGAAGGTGTGCGTGGAAACAGGCCATAGTGACAGCTGAACCTGCATGCGGTCTTTGACCACCAGCAGCATCCCCGACAAGAAGGATCTTGCCATCAGAGAACAAATTACCGAGCCCTCCAGAATCTGTGACAATCTGAACGAACGGCGACTTGGTCTTCGCTACAGCCTCCGCAAACTGAGGTGAGAGCTCTTCCTGCGCCTTCATTCTGATCTCGTCAGCCAAGAGCGCTCGCATGCCTCCTTGGGGTAGAGCGTAGTGATGTCTTTGGCCGTCGACGTCTGTCATCAATTCATTCAATTCATCCTCCGTCTTCTCCATGTACCAACCCCAATTCAGAAAACTGTGGGAGTTGGGCGGACCATCTTTGCGTGCCGGAACGGTATATGATAGCATCTGAGAGTTAAGGTTCCAGCACAATGTTGCAGAGAAGTTCATCACTCTCATTGCATCGTCTGAAAGCTCCTCGGTTGGCACAAGGCCACGCAAGAGTACGTATCCAGCGTACGTTCGCTTCGTCTGTGGAGGACGACGCTGTGGATCTTTGATGAAGCGCCATCCGCACCGATGATCAAATCTCCCACCAGTGTCTCGCTTTGGCCTTCATCATTCGTGACACAAACCTCGGCCTTTTCGCCGAGGCTAATGATGTTTTGCACATTGCAGGAATAGCGGTATCTGCAGATGGCTGACTTCTCGCAGCTTTCCTCGTTGAACGCCAACATCAGGATGCGGAAGAGTTGAATCCATGTTATCGCACAATTGCGAACAACAGATCTCTTTCTGAGTCCTACACCCTTGGTATCCAGAATGTTGTAGGAATTGAGAGGAATGCCATAGTCGCTCATCAATGCCCCAGCATATTTCTGAAGGAATTCTGAAACTTCGTCACTGACTCGAATTCCCGCCCCTTGGTCTAGCAGCTGTTTTGGGTTGCTTCGTTTCTAAGACGGTGATCGATCGGATCTGAGGAAGCGTTTTCAATGCGACGCCCGCACAAAGACCTGGAATCGAGCCTCCTACCTGTATCCGTGGTGTTAATTAGCCATTCCTCATGGTCAAGATGGCAATATATCGACAACCCCTCTCTTGATGGACTCACTATAATCACGTCTAACTCAGTCCGCTTATCCATTTCTCTGGGAGAATGAAGGTGGAGTCTGCTGACTAGTTATCGCATGTCTTTTCTTTTCGAAGTTCATTTTGTTCACAATCGAAGTATATCTGTGGCTGAGGTTGAGCCAGGGATACGGAACTGAGCTAAAAATAACGGAGCCGGGTACGGCGTATTTCGTAATTAAGAGGTAAGTCTATACGGATCTATTCTGGATAATGGTCAGTGCCGCTGGCTACGCTCCCACACCACCCACAGCCACCCTGCCCTTTCTCCTTTCTCCTTTCCATTATGGCTCAACTGTGCATCAACTGTTGGATGTCGGGGTGAAGCCAACTTCGAAGCATCTGTCGAAGGTTATAACGGGCTCGTATTTTGACACCAGGACGAGATCCGGAGTTGGCAGGGTTGGTCTCATTGGTGGAAATGTATTACCCTCGTCCGTTTCGGGGAACATCTTCCGATTGCAGGACCTTTACGAGGTAATAGTAGGGCTGCAAACTAGGCAGCAGCCGCTAGTAGAGTCCGCTAGAGGCTTGATTCGCGGATGGTGACCCAGGTGTGCGAGACTCATTGTACTTGGTAGTAGCCTCATCGCGGATTTCTTCCCCCAAATGCCTAAAGAATTTTATATTGCAACATAGGTGCCAGCTGGCAAGAGACTTTTTGCTTCCTTTGGAGCTTGGGAGCCGTGTGTCACACCTGACCGTTGAATGAAGACGACGTACCACTTCGCCTATTTAGGCAGATCGCTTGCTGGGCTCCTCAACGCTCGAAGTAACATGAGAAGCCAGAGTTTTCATTTTCCTATCGCCGCTTGACGAGCCCACACGCCTTCCTAACCTTCTTAACGTTTCGAGGTTGGGGCCATTCTTTATGCGGACATGAATGACGACACAGGTCGCGATTTTGACGAGCTTCGCGCTTCACGGCCAACGTCATTGGTGAGCGAACTTCTCGAAATCCAGAAGTACCAAAGAAATTGTCCACGAGATTTCACGCAGGTGCGGTCGTTGAAATGTTTGTCACCAAGGCAGCAAACCCTCAAAGTCCCTGATCCAACCTTATTCAAAGTCACTTTGCCAGAAGATGATGGAAAGTTCGCTGCAGTCTCATATGTGTGGAATCCGTCAGCATATGAAAATGATACGACAGGAAGATATCGCATCATGCCAGAACATCCCGGCAGACCTAAGCGCTCCAAAGTACGAGATGTTATTCTTGATCGTGTCGTCAGGTACACCGTCTCTGGCAATATACCAGCATTTTGGATTGATCAAGAATGTATCAACCAGAGTGACGAAAAAGCAAAAATTGCTGCCATGCAGTCTATGGACATAATTTACCGCCGCAGTCAATATCCTGTCGGTGTGCTGTCAACTCCTGTGCGGTGCCAACGAGAAATTGATTGCTTGCTGGAGCTACTGAATGGAGAACTTGTTACCCAGCAGTGGTCATTACATGGCCCCAAGCTAACTGCCGAGGTCAACATTGAGAAAGCCCGAGACATACTAGATGTCCTTTTCAGAGTCATGTGCGATCCTTGGTGGGGTCGCCGCTGGATTTCTCAGGAGGAATACTGTGCTATGGACCGTATGCGTCTCTTGATTCCCCACAAGCTTGGATTACGCAAAGCACGTGGGGGACGGATATTCGGCAATATCGATGGGGAGCTATCCATTAACGCTGCTTGTTTCCGCCAGCAGGTTACTCTGTTCTGCATTGCCTGTCACCGCCAAGAAATCTGGACTTCGACAAGGGAGAAATGGCGATGCAGATTGGTATTGAGACGAGCAAAGAAATACAACATGCTACAGAAGTATGGATGGATAGTCGGTGACTATAGTGACGGTCGGGCAATGTCTACAAGAATCTTGGCCGATATCTCTCGTCGTTCAGCTAAGATACCGTCAGATACTTTGGCAATCGTTGCGAACTGCTGTGGATACGCAACACGGTTAGATGTCGAGACCCTCAGCAAGGCCCGGTTGCGTAGTTTGAGTCTGGCAATTCTTGCTTTATTCGTCCTCAATGGCGAAATTCTTCGCAATGACACGAATGAAGATGTTCCATGCACCGTCGTTGACTTTCTCAAAAGACAGTCTTTCCAGGGGTTTGATCCACCAAGAGACGATAGGAAGTTAACCTTTATGAAACGTTGCCGACTGAGTGATGTTGTGTTGTCCGAGGAAGGAATCAAGACGCATGGATATTGCTGGACAAGATGCAAGATTTTCATGCCGAGATGTCTTGCGTCGTCAGAAAAGGGAGCACAATGGCATCAAGACATCCTCCGTCAACTCGCCGAACAGCTACATGGTTCGTATCGTCGATTAGCTGATAACATTAGGAAGTACCTGCAAGGTACAATGCCTGGCAATATGAAGACAGCGGGCCTGCGGGAGATATTCAAGAGTATGGCTGAGGGAGTCGCCGAGGCGGTGGAAGCCGGCCGACCGCTCATCCTCGCTCAGCTCGCAGGCCACGATCAAATCTGGGCGGTTTTCGTTGCAACCACACGCCATCACACACGCTCGCATATATTTACAAGCTGTGAACCTGCAGAAGGCAGGTCGTCTGGATCTCGGAGTCGACCGCTTGATAAGTATGTATCACTGCAAGTGGTTACAAGTGGAAACGCAGACAGCGGCATTCCTCGCCTTAGGACTGGTTCGTGGGTCAACGGTCTTTGGTTTGTTGATCGTATTAGGCCGCAAGAAGTCATATTTCCGTGGCCGCGCTTTCTGTCTGAAGAATAATCAAGATCTAGCTCTGGTTCTAAATTCGGCCACGCAACAGTCCAAGACCAAAGTCCAATTGCGAGACTGGGAGAGGCCTTGAGATAAACCCGACGTCAGCGTGTCCAAGAGTGAGGGGGCGGCTATCGCGTTGTAACAACATGCTTCTGCCGCCTCTTCTCCATACATCTTCGTCAAACGGCACGTATTTACCGTAGGGAACGGTAAAACAGCAAAGAGGAGTAGTTAGTTCGTTGCGGGGAAAAAGAGAAAACAAACCGGCGAACGGTGAGAGAAAGGGGTGCGGCAGTTTTCCATCAGAAGAATGTCCTCGTTTTACAAATTAAGCCTCCATCTCCCTCTCTGTTTCTTTTTCAGACGCTCATTTAGTTTTGCTATTCTTCTGTTTTTTTTTTTTTTTTTTTACAAAAAAAAGGGGACCCTCTGCTCACTCAGCAGGAGCAAACAGGGTGTTCGCGCTGCAGTCGGCGCTAACTACGGTTGAACTTTGCGTTTTCTTTCATATTTGTCCTCTCTTTCTTTTCCTTCCCCGGAGTTTAGGACCAAACCATGACAGGTGCTCTTTGTGAAATTCCTTGCTAAATATAAGTGTAATGCATGCATTCACAGAGTCTTGATCCTGCCCCCTACACAAACACATTCACTCTTTAAGGTAATAGCTACTTCCTTGCGACCTTGTCCTTTCCTCGTGAATGCAAGTTCGCCATGCTGCTCAGCGTCGAAGTATGGTCCGCCCCGAGCTTGGTCTTACGGGTCCCCAACTCCTGCGCGAATAGGTCTACCACCTCATCCCACCGCCCTTGATTGATATACGTGACAGTCAGATTGTCCAGGCCACAAGTGAGTTACTCACACCAATTTTGATACAAAATGTGGCCATCCAACAACAACAAATCTTGCGGTCCGATGTTCCATACAAGACACATCAACGCTGGTCTCATCTACAGCGTCTGCGTTCCCATGAAATTGCAAACAGTACAAAATCTAGCAAGAGATCAAACTGGATGGATAGGTGACCAGCAAATGGGATGATGCAAATGGTAGGACACGGCTGGATATTGACCCTGGACAGCTAAAAGGGGCCACATTAGGCTCATCGGCCGAAAATGGGACCTGTAAGTCTTGCGATTTCCTCACCTCTGAGAGCAGCAGTTTGGGCTCAAATTTAGACCTTCTTCTCGCTACTAAAAGAGAAAAGACAAAATCAGGACCGATCAACGTGGCTTAGGCTTCAGTCAGGCATGCCCACGCTGAATCAACTTGGCTTATAACGAGCTCAGTCCTTCTCAGCCACGGCTCAAACTGTTTACTCATAGCTCACGTTACACCCTCGCGTAACTCGTGTCTCAAAACAAAGTGGACTTTGTGTGAGGTCCCCGTCTTTGTCGTGAGTCTCTTTTTTCACCTCGCTCTCTCTTCGTTCCCATGCAACTCTCTGTCACCTCCGTCTTATCATTTATCATGGCAAGTGCCGTGGTCACCTCGTCTTAACTTGTGTTACTAAAGCCGCACATCTCGAACATCTTGAAACAATCCATGGACCTGAAGCTCAGCTTCATACCTTTTTGGTAGCCTTTGATTCAGTCTCATGCCTATTATTGGTATTGGAATGCAGCTTTCTCGCGTATTGTGCAGACTGTCGTTCAGATTGTGTATTGGTTTTTAAGATGAGCTTCCTGTCCGCCATATTCTGCCCCTCCGAGTGGTAGGGTGAGCAGCGCGGATCCAAGTCTAAACCCTGATGGAACCCTTACAGGACTCAGGGCTGGACGACTTAACGTACCGTATTCTCGCTTGTGCAATTCGGCTCATGCATCTCTCCATCAGTGTTTTGTCTTTCTCAACCACACTAGCTATTAGATCTCTGGTCTCCATCCAAAATCGATTCCCTGCGGTTGGTTTGAACGGCTTTGATAGTCGCCTCGACAGATAAACGATTTTGTGGCAGCATTGGCTACGTACATCAAGCAAATCTAGGCAAAACCAAACCCCTCATCCAAGAAATGGGCAGGCTCAGCTGCTTCGCCTGAAGAATACAATTCTTGGTCCTTTCGGAGGACATCAGCACATCAGCTGAGACAGGCATTCTTCTGGCTGGAGTGTTATCGTTGAGAACGTTTCGGTCCAGAAAACAAACCCCTTTTCTCGAATATCTTTCAACATGCCCAAGGGTGATCACGATAGGGCTAGAAATAAGTTTAGCGAGTGGATGAAGTACATACCGGATAACTACAGCATCGCACAACTTACTCTTCCCGGCACCCACGATAGCCATGCTACCAAAGAGAACACACCAGAACTAATGCATCTCTTCACCGTCTGTCAATTTCACAGCGTTACGCGTCAACTGGAGCTCGGTGTCCGGTACCTTGACCTGCGGGTAGACGATCCCAGCCTTTCCATGGTTCACGGATACATCACACTGTCAGGCAATTTGTCTGATATGCTCGGAGAAATAAGAGAGTTTCTTCGTACTCCCTCGAGTGAAACTGTGCTTGTGAGCATCAAATGGGACGATCTCAAAAGCACTCATGACCAGAGCCTCCGCCACTTTGCCTGGAATGCATGGGAGACAAGCGACTGGTATAAGCAAAAGACGTGGCCAAATCTCAAGACAGCTCAGGGCAAAGCCATCCTCCTTCGTCGCTTTGAATCCGAAGGCAAAGATGAAATCGGGATAGACTGTATGGGCTTTTGTGGCTCAAAATCAGCCGGTGACAAAGCAGTAGCCCCACGGCTACAAACGGATAATCCAGCAGAGGCTGGAATCCCATTTGAAAGCTGGTGGGATAGAGCCCTTCTCAATATGAACCATTCAAGGAACCAGCCATCTTCCGACGGCATCCTTTACATCAGCAATCCAGCGGACACTAGGATACGGAAGGGAGAAAATCCTCCAATTGCCTCTGCCGCCAATGTAAATTGGCGGCTTTGTCAGTATCTCTCTAGCGACAATAGTCAAGTGGATCCTGAAAAGAACCGCCTTGGCCTTATCATTCTCGATTTCATCAGATATGGCGACACAGCAAGAACTATCTCCAAACTGGAAGCAGAATGTCTAAGTTACCCCAGGGAATCCCTCGTGGAAAGGGAATGGCTCTGTTGTTGCCGACTTTTCCAGCACCAAAGAAGCTGTAAAAATATTCATTCAAACGGATGGGGACCTCGTTGTATACGCCAAAAATGGGGCGGATGCCAGGTGGGCCTCTATGATGAACATGGCTCAGGCAGACAAAAAGAGGCTATCTTTCCAAGACGATGGCAATCTCGTGATTTACGAAAATGGCGATGGTCGATGGAGCTTGGATAGATTCGCGTGCAATTCCAAGCTCAGGGTCATGCATGGTCCGCTATTCTTCACGGTCGACTCGGACTTTTGAAGGGGGACCTATACTGGACCCCTGGAGGAGACATACTAACGGAGCCCAACCTCGACTACTCAGCCAACACCAACTTCGTCAAAATGTATCTAGCTTATGCCACAAATCCAGCTGGAGCGGCACAGCAAGGTATGAATCAGCTCTTCAGGGCAGGCTTCGACTATGTGTCTAGCACATTGGGAAAGGACAACAATCCAGTTGCGAATGGCATGGCCAATGCTATTGATGCAGTGGGCAACTGGTATGCATATACTGGAAACTTTACAGTGCAGGTTCTCGAGTTCGTGACCACACCAGGGCGAAAGCTTGTTGGATAGGCTTCCTCATTGTTTAGATAAGTCAGGCTTCGACGAAGTTGCTTTGGCAAGACATTCACACTCTTCAATCCCGTCTAAATTCACACGAACTTGCACAACAGCTGCGCCCTCCCGCAAAAAGCTGCGACAAAACTTACGCCCAGAATCCGTATGTATGTTTCATGTGTTAAAGTATTGCATTCTCGGCTTTCCAGGGCCTCCAGTCCTTTCGCTGCGATCACGATCGATGTTAACCCTGGATCAAATTAAAGACAGGATGCATTTGCATGCAATTTATCGTGGCTCAATCTCGACTACCACGTGCTTGGTACGAGTCATGCAATTATCACGGAGCCATACTGACTTCAAGGCATCAACGGTATTTCTGCAATCGTGGTGTCCTTTCTTGCGCTAGCCCGTCCCCAGTCATTCGACGCACTCATAACGGACGGTATAGAACCTGAATTGCACCGTAAAGACACGGATTTGATTATTCGTAAGCGCTTGAGTAAAGATAGGCGTTTCAAGCGATACAGGGCTGTGATCATTGGATATTCGAGCTGGAATATGAAAAATCGATGTTGATTCTGGTGAGGTGGCTTTCGCTTCCCAGGGATGGATGTTATGTACCCACTAGGATCTCACTGTTCGAGAGAGGGTCTGGTGCCGCTGTCTCAAGGGGACCAGAAATGGGATCCAACAGGGCTTATGCCAAAGACCTGATATTTCAAAAAAAAAAAGGGGGTATAGTCTGTTTCAGAAAAGGTCATTTCATTGTCTAGGGCCACACACAAGCTCGTCTCTACCGGATCAATCCAGATGTGTCTTGTAACGGATCGAACGCTGCGGGAATTGCTCAAGTTCATCGTGCGGGAAACTTAGGTCCGCCCAGACGCACAAAAGAAAGTTGTAATTCCTCTTTTCCACCGTTGCGATGACACTACCCTTCTCCTGCGGCATCTCACCGGGCTGACGGCTTCGGTTATGCGATATGGCGATCCTGTTCTCGCATGCACAAGTGCGACAGTTAGATTCCGACTTGATAAAAAGGCCTAACGAATCTGGGATAGGGACCCTATTCAGGCGGTGGATCCTTGTGTCACGCTGCGGCGTTACTGTGCCACATACATCCGCTCCTATTCGAATCTCACAAGGTAGTCCCACCTCGGCTATACAACGCTCATCGTGACTTGTCTCATCGCTCATATCTCGCTGTCACTACTCCAATGCTCTTCTTCGCTAATCGGCAGATATATGACGTGTCAATGAAACAGGAAAATGCTCACTCCCAGAACAGTTTGAAGATACAATCACAGGGCCGACTGTCAACGCTCATCCAAATAAGACCATAGGAGAAACAGCTCTTCCCTCAACGAGACCCATCAGTCCATTGCCACGGCCAATGCCCCAGCGACCGTACCCAAGACCAAAACCCAAGTCCTCACATAATTATGCCATTGCCACCGCTTGATTGCCTCCTCGGTGTTCATCTTCCTATCTCGGTCGATGCTCCGTTTCTCGTTGAAGGCGTAAGTCAGTGCCATCTCTCCGCCGCCCGGACCTGCAAGACGGTCCGCCTTTCGAGAGAGAGCGCCGTTGGTCCGACGCAGAAAGGTGAGTGCGTAGGGCACGCCCGAGGCACTCGCGGTTGCGGCGAGGATGTAGAGATAGCGCAGAAGGGATCCTTCGGGAGCTGAACGTGTTGTCCGGATCAGCAAGTTCAGAGGGCGAAACGAGGCCTTGGGGTTTTGGAGCAGGGGAGAGGGGGAGAGGAATATGCTGGATTCCGCCGGACGAGAAAGAACCTTACCATGATATGCCAGGTACCCAAAGGACAAGCCATTGATGACGCACATGGGCCTAGAGATCTGTGTATATTGCCAGGCCACACGTCAGAAGAGAAACATTCAACTCCGATTGAACCTATGGAACAAGGGGAAGGGGACATTCAATCACGGACATAGAACCCCATAAGGTATTGATAGCGCCATTCTCGAGCGGCCAACGCGTCTGGAGCGAACAGTATCGCTGGCACAGCAGCGTGGGACAGCGCCCAAGTGTACCCTAAATTGAGACCACGCGAGAAGGATCAGCCTTCATCTAGCCCCAACGAACAATGAATGTACCTCCGTACACTGAGAAGCCCAGAAAAGGGGGCGAAAGGGGAAAGGGGGAAAAGAAAGGGGGGAGGAGGGGGAGGAGTCTAAGCACCTGCAAATACGCCAGACGAGGCCAATCCAAGGACTTTGGCAAGCACCAAGGTGTCCATCACGCTTCCTTTTCCCCTCCTTTTCTTTTCCTGATCCTGAAAGTAACACTTTCGCACGTGGATGGATTCTGGAGGCCGGCGGTTCTTTTTTCCTACCAGATTTGCTTCGTCCAAAACAATCAGAGAAAAAAAGGTGTTGTGTCACTTAGCAAGCAGTTCTAGTTCCAGTCTAGGCAAGGCCAGTCCAGCGCGGCATACGAAGTTCGTTAGAACAAAGAGAAAAACACAGCGCGTAGAAAAGGGAGACAAGGTTACCGGTTTGATGTTGTTTAATACAATCTCTGGAACCGACCGCCGACGCACGCCCGTTTACCATTCGTGGCCCCAGATCAGGGTGTCAGATCAGCGCTAGTCGGGACTGGGTAGTTACAGGTTAGGGCCACCCTGTGTCTGCGGTTAGGCGAGACGGCACACCAACCCCCTGACTGGACTCGGCAACCAACAAAACCAACTATTACGCACCTCACAGCGATAGCAAAGCAAGTTGCTAAGGCTGGCGCGAGGGAAAAGCATAAAATTCGGGAGGGAGGCGCAGAGAAAGGTAAAGGCCACGGCGGCGCGCAAAATAGGTCCTTCCGTCACGCTCGTACTTATGGTTTTCATTGGGTGGAGGATCAGAAGCTTGTCGAATTTGCGCGCCTATCATCGTCTTCAGCTTCTGCTTCTGCTTCTTCCTCATCCCTATTCTCATCAGTGGCGGTCGTCCGAGTAAATTCGACTCACTAATATATGTACATAGCGACCTAGCTAGGTAGCGAGCTCTCAGACTAGTGCTAGCCAGGAGGCGCCCGTCCTCGACCGGAGAAAGTACGCATGCTCCGTGCTCGGTACATATACATAGGTAAAGATAGCGGTGGCGGAAACGAGCGTCGCGGAGCGCAAGAAAGAACCGACTTTGGCCAACTCTGGCTTTGACTCCAGTCTACCAAGGATGGACGAGGTAATACTTCCGTTTTCTTGATACCCTTACCTTCAACCAGCTCGTAGCCAAAGTAGCTGGGTGAGTGGAGGTGCGTGAGTGGAAGGGTAAGATGGGGTGGCCTCAACCCGGGCTGGTGGGTGCACACGCGCTCCCTCCAGGAGCGCGGCGTGTGTGAGGGCGCGTTCTATTTCCTTTTTCGCGACGGTTAAATTACCTCGCATTTCTCGCACTATTACTTAAAAAGGTCACCAAAACAGGACTCACGTCCATTCGGCGCCTGGCAGGTTTCGTAGCTCAAAGCTCCTTTCGAACAAGAGCTGGACCCTGATCGGTTTGTCTGCTTGTACGGGCGTCGGTCTATTACTACTGGTTCCGAGCCAAGATCATTCTCCATCAAGACAGAACCGCGGGAAGGTTTCTTTGCGTCAGTCTGGGAACATTCGAGTGTTTCCTCGGGTCCCATGGTATATCGAGTCGATTCTACATTGATGGGATGGCAACTGAATGGCGTATCACGTAGTGATTGCGGTGAAGGCCTGTCTTCAAACCGGCCTGCACCGATACATGGGGAACTTCTTGATAGCAGGCTCCGGGCTGCGATGGTAATGTAGGGGACCGGGCTCCGGCGATGATTCCGCGCTATGTGAAGATAGCGAGGACAATTGTCAGAGAACTCTCTATCTCGAGGAGTATGTTCATAATCCTCAGCCACAGGGTCCCGATCCGGACGAACCGGTTCAACCTCACATCTTGGATCCAGAAGAACAAGAGTTCTTGGTACTCAATCTCAGAGACAAGTAGATCAACTTTCGTTTTCTTGAAGTTCCGCTTGAGCTTCTGCATGAAACTCATCTTGTCGGATCCGTCTTGCAGCAGATCTTTAATATTATTGAATAGATGCCAAGATTGATCATAGATGTCATAGACTAGATCTAGAGCCTTGCGGGAACGAATTGGTTCATTATCATCGATCCGTTGAGGGGTAATTCGAGCACGTCCGAGCAGAGAGTGACATGGCGAGCGATGTAATCTGTCTGCTCTTTGGCAGATGAAGCTGTTGAGCCAAAGTTGTAGAGGGTAGTTGTCAATTGAACGCCGAAATATGAGATTCCCACCGATGAGGCTACTAGGGATACCTCGGCCATTAACTTCTAGTAAGCTGTCATCGAAGGTAAAATGAGTGATTGCAATCGGTGAAGTCCCGATATCAAGGTTGGCAAAAATCGTAGAATTCAGGTACCACAATTGAACAAAAGTTCGAGGTGCGGAGAGCAAAGACTACAGGCGCATTCAAATCTGCCTTACATAAACGCCCTGCTGGGGGTTGAGTCCACCAGATACACGATGGGCTGCAGTCGTGGTACCCTGCATCTACACGGCTCGGCAGTGTGAAATGAGACGTGAAAATCCGGGCGACAGAGCATGAGCCGGACTAGCCAAATGCAAAGACTACAGACTCTGCCTCCCCATTCGAAACTCCAAGTCCTGTCACCAACACATTCTTCGCTTCCACTTGCGCGGCCGAGTCTCGTCAGCCAGGTCAGGCTGAGCGTCTGATTCGCCAGTCTCTGGTGAATTACCAGCCAGGTTGTGTTTGTCGTTCAGTTCGAGGTTGGACAGAAACCAGATCAGCACCATCGGGATTGCGGATGCGACCAATGCTACGATGGTCATGGATCTCAGGATATCGGAATAGGCGTGGTTGATGGCGTTGCGGTCGCTTGTTCCCGGCCGAGGGACCACAGCTGTAATCGAGCCGTATATACTGTTGATCGCTGCCTGTGACGCATCCAAACCCATCCAGAAGCGTAGCTGCTCCTTGATGAGGTTGGTGTAAATAGTGCCAACAACTGCCGAGCCTGCGCTGTTACCAAGATAGATCCGTAAAAGCTCCAGGGCCGTGGAATACGCCAATTCCGCCCTCGGAACCACGATCTGTGCGACGACAATGACGATCGTGCCAACCGCTCCGCTGCCTGCGCCCTGGATGACTTAAACAGCAAAAATTTCAGCCATAGTGTTGTCTGCACCTCGAAGACGCATCATGAATCCGTACCCGATAAGTCGAATGACGATCCCAACCAGCAACAGCCACTTATATCGTTTCGAACGGTACATGAGGAACCCCGTGCCCAAACCTATCAAAACTTGCACACATCCCGCCGTGTCGTCAGAAACGTGGCATCGCGTGACGCAAGTTCGTGAACCACTGTTGCCCAAGCATACAGGTAAGTGTGTGTGACGCTGTAAGCAAAGGCCATCCACTAGCCTGATCAGGAATGCAAGGGGTAGGGAGATATTCTCGAACAAGCGTGGTGGCGTGGCCGGCTTCGTCGCTATTCGAGACTCGTAGTATATCAACAAAGTCAGGCCCGCGACTCCGATTGCCATCAAAGTCGGAACCCACGGTGTAGTCCAGCGACTTTTGGCGTTCTCGGCAAGGGCTGTCGGCAGCAGAAGCATTCCGCAGCCGCCGCTGAGGAGTAGCATCCCGCCGAAATCGATCTGGGAACCGAATCCACAGATTGAAGTCTTTGTCCGCACGCACCCCCCAGCTCGCTCCAATCGACGTTGGAACCAAACCAGAGGGCTGACGACGCTGAGAGAGCAGGCTAGCATGATAATGGAGAACATGGCTATCCCCCAACGCCAACCAATGTGGACGAGCGCGCTGTCGACGATAAATGCCGAAAACCACGGGATGATCGTAAAGGGCAGGCTGACTAGCCCGTTGGCGAGACCACGACATCTGGAAGATGTAATGTCTGCCACAATGATCTGGTTGAGGATCTGCATCCCAGTCTGACCAACATTATTGATGATGTACCCTCCTATATATTGACCAAATCCCCTGGCGGATACACAGAGAGCGTACGAAATGACATAGCAGACAATCACGCCAATGTATGTCTCGGCCGGTCCGATAACGTCGGATATCTGCGCGAGAGGCGGCTTGAGGACCGCACTCACGATTGTCCCAACCGTCATCAAGTGTCCCGAAAGAGCAATCTGTTCAAAGTCGGAAGCTGCGTAAATTTGATAGTTGTAGATTGTGGCGTGGTCAAGCTTAAAAACGGTCCACATGAGGGCGATACCCGTCCACATCCAACATATCCCGTGCCTTTCCCAAGCGGCGTTCAGAATCTTTTGGTGCTCTCTCCCTCTCCAGACTCCCACTTGAGGGTATCTTGAGTCGCTTCGTTCTTCTCCTCGTCAAGAGTTATAGATTCACTCCTTGCCGTGGGTGTGCTGTTGTTCGGGGCGTCCCTCGAGCAGACGTGTGGCTCTGTCTTGAGAGCGACATTTTAGAGATTCCTCAGGAGGAATAGCAAGTAGGGGCGGATATCTAAACCAAGGTAGAGCAGGCTATGACCGAAGAATGAAGAAGAAAAACCCAATAGAGGCAAAAGAGGAGCTTTCAGCTTGTGGGCGCTGATCAGACCCATCCTTTGAACCAAGTAATCTCAATCAAGGCACAGAAACGAGTGCAACAGCATGATCAGAATCCAAGCCTCCCATCAAGTTGATCGATAGAGGGTATTGGAGTGCTCCAAGGTAACTTACCGAGATATCCACCCATGGGGTACTCTCAGCAAGACAAGAAGGGCCTAATGGCTAGACAACCCACAGTGACAGCGATGTCGGAAAGAAGATTCTGCGGTTGAGATTCTGGTTGAAGGATGCGAATCCGCTGTGGATTTGACGTGTAAGAAGAAAGGAATGAAGGAGTCGGTGACCCAACGACCAAGGGATGTAGAATTTTTGATAGTCTGACGGACAATTCTGTTCATTTAATCAAGATGACTTGATCGTGAAGTGGTTTCCTTATTTTCGAGTTCCTGCTGATCTCTCTTGGAGCCAGAAATTTTGCGTCCAAAAGCCCAAGAAAAAGCGACTTGGTTGAGCATTGGCATGTCAACATTCTTGCTGTGGGCCGATTCTCCAGTGGGCCATCCAGCTCCTAAAAGAGGGGGTCCGGCCATCGACCGTACGGTGACAAGAACACTAGGACTGGATATCGCGACAAACCAACGGAAAGTCGATATACCGTCAAGTCAATTGATTTTGCGAAGACGGCAACACTGGGAGACGAGAAAAGAGGGAAAAGAGAGAAAAGGAGAGCCAGAACCGAAGAGCGATAAATGGCAGTTGTCACATGACTCTTCCGCTAAGCCATTCCGGGACTAAACTGGAAGAACTTCCCTTCGCGAGTCTCTGGAGACTCTCTCATTCAGATAGACGGGAACCAGTCAATAAAGGGTTTTCCATCAAGGTCATTGCGGCCGCTCTCCCGTGCTTGGAAACAGAGGCTGTTCAAGCAATGATCCCCAAATGACGCCATTTCAAGGTTCGTCTATGGTGGTGGCTTGGCTGATAATATGTTGAATACTTTTCCATTCTGCTGATGTTGATTCATTGTCACTCCAAGAACTACTCGAGACGGCTCGATAGTTATCGGCCCCTCGTGCCCCCCATCGAGCTGGACGATCCAGTGATGCAACTCATTCAGCGGATTTGCTGATGCCTGAATAGTGGTTGATCCATGCAAAAATCTCCTTGTGCCAAACAAGACTGTTCTCCCTGTTGAGGACCCTGGACAAATCGTGAGCGAGACATGCCAATTTCTCAGAATTGGGCCACTAACCAATGGTTTTCATCCGGGAAGCTCAAAAACTTGCTCGGGACACCTCTCTCTTGCAACAAGTTGAAGAGTGTGATTCCTTCCGCGATGGGCAGTCTATAATCGAGCTCATTGTGCACCACGAAGTGTGGCGTGGCCCATTTGTCGACGTGGTTAATGGGATTCCACTCATCATATTCGCGTCGGTTGGTCCAAAGAGTGCCATTCATCTGTTCGAGCATTAGCCTCGGTCTTTGGGGACGGCGGTAAACCCACATCGTGTTGCATAAACCATAGCTCCTCAGTTGAATAGGATGCAGCCGAGTTTACCATGCCATCATGCGTGACAAGAGCCTTGAATCTTCTGCCCAGATCATGACCTTGGATCCAATTTGTCATGTAGCCGCCATACGAGGCCCCGGCTTCAATCCCGTTCTTGGTGTCGATATAGTCGAATGTGCTATTAACATGCTCCCACACGGCAACCAGATCCTCATACGGGTAACTCCCCCAGTTGCCTTGGATGGCATCCTGGAAAGCCATACCCCAGCCAGTGCTTCCTGTCGGATTCGGTGCCACAACAACATAGCCTTGATCCGCCCACACCTTGAAATTCCATCGGGTGCTCCAAGAGTTATAGTGTCCACCTTGGGGGCCACCGTGGACAATGAACGCCAACGGGTATTTCTTGGTACGATCGAACCCCTCAGGATAGATTATCCAGCTCTGCACTCGGGTGAAGCTGCCCATGGTGTAGAACTCGGACACATCTTCCGGACCTAGGCCTGCGAGCTCAGGGTCAACTTGGTTCGCCCGGAGGAGATTGGCGACAAGCCTTCCCTTGGGACCAATAATGTAGAAATCACGGGAAGACCAAATCTTGGAATCCGATATCAGCAGATTGCCGTTAGGCAACACATAGAATGATGCCACGACGCCGGCGTTTGTAATATTGGTGGGCTTGAAACCCGCTCCAGCAGTAAGCGGCACTTGGAATAAACGCCCGTGACCCAGATCAGGTGCGGCGACAAAGAGAGAGGCTCCATCAGTGGACCATCTGAGTTGGTCAGGAGTGCTATCCCAGTTCGCTGCTAGGTTGGTGATGTTGAAGTTCCTAGGATTGATATTTGCGACATAGATTTTGTTCCTGTCAGACTCGTACGAGATGCCATCCATCTGGAAGAATGCAATCTTGCTACCATCTGGAGAAAAAAGCGGCTTTGCCGAAGCGCCCTTACCGTTTGGGGGCGTTGTTGCTCCAGAAAAGGCATTAATTGGTACGGCTGGGGAAGAGCCATTGTGAGGAACGAGATAAATCTGAGATGATGTGTAATTTGATAAGGGCAGATCGATGTTTTTGGTCAAGAAAGCAACCGTGGATCCGTCAGGGGTGATATCGTAATCGCTAGAATCGCCGAACGGCTGAACTGGACTCTCGGCGCGAGAAACGTTGGAAAGGCCTGTGACGAGGTTCTTCAAGCCTCCACGCAGAGCGTACCTGTCGCTTCCGGTCAGAGTACCGGCGAAGACGGCGTATCTCCTTTCGGAAAGCCAAGTGTCCCAATGGCGGACATAGATGCTGGAGTAGATTCTTGCGGTGCTCAGCGGCTCCTCAACCAACGCCTCGTTATAAGCTGTCCCGTTTGGCCATGCTAGACAATTCAAGACGAAGTTTACATCCCCGGAGGGGGTTGCAACTGCCTTCAGTCCAGAATATGGAGCTGGGAGCGATGCGACCAGATACCTATGAACGTTAACCTGGTTCTGATCTCTCATTAAGATTGACACACGCTTCATCAATAGCATTTACGTCACCAGCATATAGGCTGATGCCGCCGTTGTCTTCTTCGTTGGTACCGTTAATGTAGAGAATGCTTGTATCGGTCTGTCCAACCCAGACAATCTCCGAGATGTCGGAACCATTGTAGAGCAGGGAGGTTTCTCCAGTTGTCAGATTCATTAGCTGCCATACCGTCTCCGCCTCATGGGTCTCCCATGAGTAGCTGGTTGCACTAAATACACCTAGTTGCTGTCGGACAAGCATTAGTTAGTCTTCGTTACCAACCTCAGAATTCACTTACCCCAGAGGGATTTGGGACCAATTCACCGCGCCGCGGCGCTGCGAGCATTTGCCTGTGTGAAGTGTTAGTCAATTTCAGCTGGCCGGACGCCCCAATTGGACCAACTCTGGTGTGATGCATAAAGCAAATGGCAAAACAGCTATTGCTGTTGCCACGGCCAATAGGCAGAACTTGCCCATGGTTCCTGGCCGATGAAAATGGGGGTAGTACTCTTCAGCTCCCATGTGCGAGATAGTTGGGCTAAATAGGATATTTGCTTCTTACTGCTTGACAACTGCATCGATCCGTTCTTATCAATTCCCCGCTCACGGTTTCCTACCGCATCTATCCGAGCACTGAGCCATATTGGATACGGCCGACGCCCACAATACAGGGGTAGACCGAGAAATTTGGTCGCGCAACAAGGAAGATGGTTACATCAAACATGCCCCAGAGACGTCGATTGACAGTGGTGGCAACACCTGACCTGTGACTAAACTGGGATTAAGAGCGATTCCGTATGGTGGAAGGATCTTTGGAGCACCAATTGCTTTCGAAAGCTGTCACCTTCCTGATGCATGAGTTAGAGGAGCAGTATGGAGATCTTGTTAGCATCTGTTCTGGAAATATGAGCTTGGCCGCGATTGAGGTAAATGACGAGCTTCCTAACCAAGAATGGGCTGTCACGAACACCAAGCTTTGAGGAGTTCCCGAGAGCTTCCCAAGCCTTTCGGACTGGCTTGGCTTCCACCCGGGCCTCTTGGGGGTGCAGGACAGTGTTGCATTGGGTGTTCATCAACCCCATCTGTCTCTCCATCGCCAAGACGCGGGATTTGCGTGGATCGAATAACAAACCTGTAGGAGAGCGGCGGACCATCCCTTATCAGACAGGAACATAAGGCAAGGACAACTAGCTGACATTGTGCAAGTTCCTGTAACGAGGAACCCGTCCCGCAGCGATATTCTATTCCATTCTTTGAACAGATTAAGATAAGAGGTGCAATAATATTTCCTGGACATGGGGCGGAGCTTGAGGGAGCGACTTGGTGGTAAAGGACCGAAGTGATGATCGCCGCGCAAAGGTCTTGGCATTCTTGAGGATCACGTGCGACGCGCAATCCATCTCGCTATCTTCGGAGTCCAGGCAAGAGAACGGACCTCGCCGAGTTTTGTTACATGACAGTTGTCTGCTGCAGGGTCGATCCTCGCGGGCTGTGCGACATGGTGTTTCTTTCTCTAGCAGACGTGGCGGATATCAACACACTCTCGCGCTATCTCTCTCACTTGCAGGTCTCGTCGCTCTACACTTGTTCTCCTGTTGATGTCATTGTCTTCTGTGGCAACGCCATCCTGCCCATTGCCCAAAATGTCTTCTCAGCTCTGGAGGCCCGCCCTGACCTCAC